AAATTTAAACTTATCACTCATAAAAAAAAAAAAAGACCTTAAACAGTAAGTTTTGAAAAACTTTAAATTTGTGCTTTTTATAAACTTCTTTTTTACTCATTTTTTTTCTATTTCTAAAAATAACTTCTAAATTTTTCTTTCAATAAAAATTTAAACTTATCACTCATAAAAAAAAAAAAAAATTTAACAAGTTTCATCAAACATATATTGGGCTAGCTAGCTAATAAAGTCCAAAGTAATCGGTCTAGGCTTAAGCCCATGGGCTAGCTTTAGATATCCTTCTTAAAGAGAGAGACCTTTAATTTAAGTCGAAGCCATCGTCTCGTCCATGACCATCTAAGATTCACGCTCGCAAAAGCAGATCGGATCCTTCAAAATCGGACTGGAAATCTCGTTAGGGTTTTATCAGGAGAATGAGCTCCCAATTCGTCTCTCGCTTGAAAGAAACCGCCCAATCGCTTACCGCCATCCGCCGTCCGTGGCGTGACTTCCTCGACGTCACGGCCGTTTCTCTCCCTTCCTCTCTCTCCGACGCCACCACTCGCATCACCCAGAACCTCACCCACTTCCGCTTCAATTACATCCTTGTCCTCCTCCTGGTCCTCTTCTTCAGCCTAATCTACCACCCCTTCTCCCTAATCATCTTCGTCGTCATCCTCGTCGCTTGGGTCTTCCTCTACTTGGCTCGCGAGGAGCCACTCCTGCTCTGCGGCTTCATCGTCGCTGACCGTGTGGTTGTAGCGGCACTTTTCGCGATCACGGTGTTTGGGCTGGTGTTGACCGGCGTGTGGGTCAACGTTCTGGTTGCATCTGTGGTTGGGGTTGGTTTGGTGGTTTTGCACGCGGCGTTGAGGAGCACCGATGACCTGGTGATGGATGATTTGGAGTCACCGTACGGGCACGTCCTCGGCGACGACCTTGATAGCCCCAGAGGGGATTACAGTGGTATTTGATTTTGAAATTTTCCTTTTTAATCTCTTTTTTTTTCTTAATTTGTATCAAATTTAATATTGTACCACTGTAGAATGCAATGTTTGATTTCGTTAACAATGAAATCAATATACTGTTTCTCATGATTTATTAAACTTCCAAACTTTGGGATTGTTAATATCATTTTCTATTACAAGCAAAGTGAATAAAACGTGGACAAGAGTTGATCCTAAAATTGCTAAAATGAAATGAACATTTAATTTCTTGATCGAGTGGCATTCATGTAATTGTAACTTAGATTGCTAAAATGACTTTGGAGTCGCGGGTACGAGCTCTGGGACGAACTTGATGGTCCCAAAGGGGATTTCTGTAGTGTTTGATTTTTATTTTTTATTTTTCATATATAAAATCAAAAAACGAAAGTGCTAGATATTATAAATTTATAATATAATTGGCTTTTTTTTGGTTTTTTTTTATTTACGTTCTATCCATTTTACGTATCCATCAATTCGGTGTATTATATTCGTTCAAGCTTACCTTAAGATTGTAACTTACGGTTATGAGGTTATAATTTTATAAGGCATTGTAATTATAATATTTCTAACATCAAATCATGGTTAATGAAAAATCAAGTTTTTAAGTTTAATAATTTATCTCTAAGTTTTAATATTTAGGTTTAATTGATGAGAATTTAACTTTTTTTAATAATTTGAAAAAAAAATTCATTTCTTAAAATTCTCCATGTTCAAAAAAATAATGGCAAATGGAAGTTTAGGACCTCTTTGGATCAGGAGTTTCAGTTTTTGGATATTATTTATATCTCATGAATTTAAATTTTTCTCCTAAAAATTTACATTTTTAAATATTTTTTTAACTTCAAAAAACTCTTAAACAGTAAAAATTTAAAAATTTCAAGTTTAAATTTTTTATAAACTTCCTTTTTACTTACTTTTCACTCATTTTTTCACATTTTTAAAAACTAAAACTCTATTTTTTCTCCAATAAAAATTTAAATTTATCACTCATAATAATACTCAAAAAGTAAAAACTTTCATAAGTCACACCAAAAATTACCAGGGCACCTATTAATGAAGGGCTGCACTTCTATAAGATAACCTGTTTGCCTCCTCCAAGACCTCTTCCAACGCCGAAACCCTTCGCATCTTTGCGGAAATACAGAACAATACCCTTTTTATTTGACTAAACTTCTCTCTCAATCGAAGACCGAGACTCCGATATGGATCCTTTTTTGGGTTTGATTTTGCTTTAAAATTCTTTGAAAATTGATAGGGTTTTAGGTTGATATCTTTTATGATATAATTGAATCTGAGTTTAGTCTTTATCGGTAGACTTAGTCTTTCATATGTATAAAGTCATAAAAGGAGGTTTTAAAATATTTTGAGATTTTAGCATAAAATATGTCCTTTTTTTTTTTTGTGTAACTCAAGCATAATGATTTAAATCCCAATTTGTGAGGGCTGGTTTGGCTTCTTTGGAGGATTTGAAGATTAATTTGCATTATTCAAGAGATTTGATAATTTATTTATATTATTTTAAATTTAAAAACTCATGTGTTAATTTAAAGTGAATCTAGACATTCAAGGGATTTTGCCCAAAATCACAAATATAACGCCTGAGCTTATAGGCCAAATTGATAAAAAGATGCATCTCTCAACTTATGTGCTAGATTTAAACCCTTCCCCTTACCTCAAAAATTACACTTGTTCAAAACAAAAATCACAAAGCCAAAAAAGAGGTCAAAGGAAACCATGTGGCGGGGCCATTTTAGTTGTTTTGAGAACAAGGGCTCTTGGAAATGTGCGTGAAAAGACCAAAAAAGAAAAAGAAAAAAACAGATAAAAGCAAAACTGCTTTTTTTAACGAACTAAAATTATTTACCAATAGTAATTAAGAAATGAAATAAAAAATTCGTAAAATTTAAACACACAATCATAAAAAATGAATAATCATAACTTAAAATTTATGCCGTTAAATCAAAACAGACCTTTTTCGAAAGCAAAACTCTGTTAAAGGTCATGTGACTGGCTTTTTATATTCTTTTGTTGATGGGATGGCAAAATGAACAAAAAAAATAAAAATAAAAAAACGATTTGGACTTGGCTCAGGCGGTAGTTATTGTTACTCCGAAAATGTGTCTGGTAAAAGACAAAGACAATACGAACTGAATGGAGTCTTCTGTCACTTCAAATGGAATGGAGGACAATGAGTATTGAATTCTGATAGTGTTGGTAAAATACTCAGGTCATATAGATCACTATCAAAGTTCTCTCTCACTTTACTTCGGCGTATTAAACAAGGCAGGTTGAAATTTGGTATTGACTTAGTAATTTTTTTAGATGAGATTTATAAGTTTATAAAAGTATAATATTTAAGTTATTAGTAATAATTAATTTTTATATTTATATACATGATTTATTTATAATTTTTTACTACTAATTAGATGGAATTTAGAGTGTTATAAAAACTCATAAATTGAAGTCATCAACTTGATATTACTACTTCTGTTACTTATGTGAATGCAATTTATATCTAAAATTTTTCAACTCAACTTAACAATTATTGACAAGCATCAGAGAAACAAACATTCGACGGTGGAAGTTTAAACAAGTCTTAATATTAAATACCAGTAAACTTTCAGGATAACAATATTTGGTACTGAAAATTTTAGTTTTGTCACAGCAGTCTGAAATATCCAGATTGAAGAAAAAAAAAACATAAACTTCTATGTATGGCATGTGTATAATTTGAAATAAAATCACGAAAACTTCAACCCAAGTATGGCAATGAGAGAAATTTCTAGAGATATCCCTCTGAACCTTCATGGTTTCGACGTCATGTAGCATAATGACAGATAAGTGTTCTAACTCCTCCCCAGTAGGAAAGAATGCACTTGTAAATCAAGATCCAACCAAACCCTTGTAGCGAGCGTAGGACATGATTAAGATGAAGATAAGTGCAGAAACTGCAGATGCGACGATAACCACCTTCAAATTTGAAAGAAGAAATGATTCAATCATATCTGGCAATCTGGCATTAACTCATAAATTTAACAGAGATGAAACACTTTTTGCATACCCATCTGAACATGTATCCATAGCCCGAATTCCAAGTATATGGAAGGTTCATGCCAAATATCCCACACACCAAAGAATAGATGTTCAAAGAAACAGTACCGGAACTTAAAAATAGCTCCAACTGCACAAATGAAGATCAAATTATACGATTAAGGAAGTGCATGGTTACCATGTGATATATGGTGCAGCAAGCAAGCGATTGTATTCTTTTGAAATTTTGACAGCAAAAATAACTACTGTAAATTAGTTGGTGAAGAAGAGAGTAAAAGGACCTGAATCAGCTGATTACGATGATTGTCAAGCTGGAAAAAGAGAGGAATAAAAATTTGCTTAGCCAAAAGAGCATTTGCAGTGGCATAACTCACTCAACAGAAAAATTCTGAATTTTTCAAGTTTTGCTTTGACTACCTGAATATTAATATAGTCCTCTGTATCATCAATATATTCTCGAAGCTGCAGCATTTCAAATGAATTAATAAAATTAAGACATAAAACTAAGACTGCAAGTACATACCTACAAGAGATTGAAAGAGTTTTGCGAGTACCGTTGTTAATCTGTTCAATGTGCCATCAATTTGCATAAAGTAAGCCTGCAAAACAGGTTGCAACCAGTTTAGCTAGCCTTTTTCATTTTACAGAAAATTAGATGTGAAAGTGCTTAAAGAAGAAAATGTTATGTTATGACCTCTAGTAACATTTCAAGCTCCTCTACATCATTATCATCTCCACGAACGGTCGCAGTACCTGCTCCACTTGCTCTTGAAATCTTTGATCCTATGGTAGGAGAGGCAGGAAACAAATTAATAGCACCTGATCCACTAACAGTTGATGATGTACCAGCAAACTTTCTTGACAAGCAAAGGTGAGCCATATCATCATCATCATCCAGTAGTCGTTCTAGTTCATCCCTTACCTACAATAATCGGTATATACCCATAACATCTCATCTTGCCTATTATAGTCTATTACATGGGTGTGCTACATCCATTCTAGTCAAGAAAAATTCATCTAAAAGAAACTTCTTATTACCTTTTGTACCCGAGCAGTCAACCTTGTCATGGCACTCTTCAATTTACGAACTCTATCCAAATTACGACTACTAATCTGCATATATTTAGTGTGGTTTGCAAAAGTCAAATACAAAATAGCAAATAAGGGAGGAAAACTAGTAAAGCAAATCTTCAGAGAAATTTCAATTACCATGGAGGTTAGCTCGTCTAGAGCAGGATAAGCATCAGTCTCTAGCTCTGTTGTACGCGCAGCGAGAAAACTGCAAATGGCTTCCAAAGCTATCTCCAGGACCCGGAGCTCAAAAGGAGACTCTGTATTAATTTCATGGTCCCGATCATTCAGGTATAATGAAGAAATGAAAAGAGTACAAATAGAAATTAAGTCACTATGATGTGCAGGGAAAGAAAATGATGTCAAAGAACATATATAGAATCATTACTATTCATATTTTTGCTGAATCAATAAGGCATACCATCTTCTTCTTCGCCTACTTCAATATCATTGTGCTCCTTCATGTAGTCTTCGGCATTTATAGTAGGCAGTCGTCTTTGAAGTTCTTCAACAACAGGGATAACATTTTCATCTGTCGGATCTCGAAGCAGTACCTATATGTCAAATGAAAAAACAATCCCACAACTTTCAATTGAAATCCAATGATAAACTATATATCAACGTAAAGTAAACAATTTCAGAACCTCTTCAGCTGTAATGATCGCCTTGATATGCTGCACCCCAGAAGAGAAAAACAAAACCACTCACTATCACTAAACAGAGAAAGAAACAACAGTAATAAGTATTGAGAAAGTGGAAACACCGCACAAAATCTGACCTCTAAATTGAGCACAATAGCCCGCTCTCTTCCCAGAATGGTGGAGGGGTACGACAGGAGCGGATCGAGGATGCGAAGATCGCGAGCGTGGATTTGAACTTTCTGCATGATGTCGAACTTGTCTAGATCCAGTACGGTGCTCTCCCCCGTGCAGTCTAACAGTATCCAGCTCCGGGGCGACTGCGTTTTCTTCTTGACAGACACCACCGCCTGAGTGTCCACCGGCACCACATGCACCATCTCTGCACATATCACATTCAGGTTCCCAACACCGAACTTCTAATATTACAAAAAGACTCTGTGTATATATCCAGAGTCCATGGTGGGGAGACAATTTTTCATTTCTGTCAAGGTGTTATTTGGCGACGAGAAAAGACTTGAAAATGGATCAAAGGAGTTTCTTCTGGTGATTTATCCTTGCGGGGAAGTTGGAATTGGAACCCCTTTTTTGCTTAAATTCAAATAATTAATAAATTGCATGTCCAAGTCCCAATGACGTTTGGAGGCATTTTTTTTTTTAAAATAAATTGCGTTTACTTATATAGTGTTTTTTATTGGGTTTACTAATATTGCCATCAAATACTAGTAGTCTAATATTATCTTTTGTAGTTTTCTTTTGGGGGCGAGTTAAGTAAACCCAATGCACTTCCTTTTAAGAGCTTATTTGATAAGAAGGGATAGCAAGAAAAGATTATTTAGACAATTAACTTAAAG